CGGAAAGTTTTGATGTCTCGCCAACGACGAGCAGAGTTTTCAGCTGGAGCGCATCTATCTCTCGATGTTGTTGGAATTTGCCCTCTAGCGACCTTTGAACACTGAGGATTGACAAGCCTCTTGATCGTATAGCGTAGAAAGCTGATTTTCATTCAACTTTGCAGCACAGTGAGCAACCAGACCAAGCAGTGCACTTCTTGTGTAGGTTTTGGTGGGAAATGCACCAGGCCTTTGCTTTCTACCATTACATGCCTCTCTTCATGTCTTCTCCCTTCATGGGAGACGCAGAGTTGCGGCGGAATTCGCTGGCCCCGCCCTGTCATTGGAATCCAATCACTTGCGCCACGCTAGAGATTCCGCAGATCCGTTAAGAGATCTGCGGGTCAGGTGATGGTCAGGCGATGCCTCGGTCCTCGGGATGGCACCGACCGTCGGAGTGACCACCCTTGGATCCGTTGAGCGATTCGACCAATCGAGACGCGTCGATTCCGCGCAGAAGGTGTGTCCAGTCCAGTTCAGGACAGGTGGAGGCCTTGCATGTCTCGGATCACGGGTGAGTGGCACTTTGTTGGGAAGATGAAGCTCATTTTTTGGGAAACTGTCCTGTGATCCGCTTTCATTTATTGGAGGTTTGCTGGATTCAGTATCCAGCAGTTGCCCGGCCATCAGTATCCAGCAGTTGCCCAGCCAGGCCGGGGGAGGAAACCCTGAAGCCCATGGTTAGGCAACTGGTACTTGAGATAGGAAGAGGTCCGCCACAAAAGCGATTCAGGATTCCCAAACACGACCCCTTGACCTATTTTACAACATTTCTGTATTTGATGAACTGTAGACATCGTTGCAGTAGAGAACCTCTAGGTGGACACGGGGCACCATTTCGACTCAAACTTCTCACCTCCCAGTAACATCGAAAGGTGACGCACTAGCTGCAGGCTTGCTGAGAAAGCTATATAACTGGAAAACTGGAAAACACCAGCTGTGGAATTTTGGGAACTTTTGAATTTTGGGGAATATGGATAAGTATATTGTGGATGAATGATGATACATTATGATAAATGAACATATATAGTAATAGTACCGACTACAAAAAACTAATGGGTTGATGTGGGTGGCACAATCAGTCATTCTGAAATTAGCATCATGTAATTATAGCTGTTGCCCCCCCGACCTACTGCTACCACCTCTGTCGCCCATCCAGCCGGTCTCTTGGTGGCGGACCTTTCAGCCTGGAGGCAGTTCCATGTCTTACGACCCCACCCTGTGGGCGCGTAGGGAGCTGCTTCGACCCACTTATGCCAAGTGCAAAAAATTGATCCAATCATGACAACACCCTTTTCAACTTGTTCTGGTAGAGTCTAACGACCAGTGTTGCCAGGAGTGTACTCTGCAGTCACGAATACAGGGACTGCATGACGAGAGAGCGCCTTTGAAGCAGTATATCACACAGTACTGGGGTTCTAGGCTGTGAGCCAAACCCCTGGTCAGTCCAGCAGGCTCCAAAACCGCAGCCGCCTTGGGCTGATACTGTTTGAAACTCGCACAACGGACTCGTCTGTTGCAGCGCTAATTCATCACCTGACGTTTCAGAATGGCGTCAAACTAAGCTTAGCCGGCATGGATTGCGGCCATCGGAAAGTTCGTGGCAGCACGACCATTTGCAACACTTTGCCCATACTTCCTGCCGTCCAGACAAATCGTAAAAATAGTATAGTAGTAGAACGTTTGCTTCCTGCAGAGATACTGGTGGATAGGTCAATAGATGCTCTATCAGATGCAGTCCAGTGAAAAATCGATCTATATCAATTTTGCTGTCACTGGTGGTGCTTCCGCGTTCTCCGATTGAGCTGAGATCGCTCCTACCCTCCCTAGCCAGCGAAGAATCAAAGCGTTGGCGCACGGTGGCGCGCGGGGTCAGGTGTCAACGGGGTGGATGATTGGAGACCTGTGGTGCCGTTTGGGGTTCCTCTTGGAGACAGATTCCCCATGGCCTCCACCCTAGTAGCGATGGCCTCCAACCTACTAGCGATGGCCTCCAACCTACTAGCGACGGCCTCCACCCTAGATGCGATGGCCTCCCCCTAGTAGCTCCAACCTACTTACTAGCAATGGCCTCCACCCTAGAAGCGATGGCCTCCACCCTGGTCTGCGATGGCCTCCCCCTAGTAGCTCCAACCTACTTACTAGCGATGGCCTCCACCCTGGCCTCCACCCTAGATGCGATGGCCATGGCCTCCCCTAGTAGCTCCAACATGCTCCAACCTACTAGCGATGGCCTCCACTCTAGTAGCGATGGCCTCCACCCTAGTAGCGATGGCCTCCACCCTAGTAGCGATGGCCTCCACCCTAGATGCGATGGCCTCCCCCTAGTAGCTCGAACCTACTTACTAGCGATGGCCTCCACCCTGGCCTCCACCCTAGATGCAATGGCCTCCACCCTAGATGCGATGGCCATGGCTCCAACCTACTTACTTAGCGATGGCCTCCACCCTAGTAGCGATGGCCTCCACCCTAGCATCGATGGCCTCCACCCTAGTAGCGATCGCCTCCACCCTAGATGCAATGGCCTCCACCCTATTAGCGTTGGAGACAGATTCCCCCCCAAATATGGAAATTCCTTGCTTTCGCCGGGGTCAGTCACCAAGAGCACAAAGAGAAAGCTGGCTTTGGAGCACAGCACTAACTATGCAGTTGCGTCGTTTACTGTTCGTGTGAGTCGTGGGACATCTCCTTTGCCTGGCTGGCTCAGAATTGCTTAGATGAGACAACCCATGATGAATGCACATCTGAGAAGATGAATGCGACACGGCCATATCTGAAATAGCATGTTTGTCAGCATAGACTCGTTCTCCAAAAGCGATGGAAGGAATGACGCCTCGTTCCCGGAAGGTACCTTGGTGCACTGATCCTCAATCCGAGTATATATAGATCCTTCATACTGAGGGTGTCCAAACTGGGCCAGTGGGTCCGAAGGCCAACTTAAAGTGTAAGCCGCTGGTTGCGAAACCAATTCGTGAAGCCGCTGGTGTTGCACGAAGCCTCGCGAAGCCACCCTTCCCACAAATTCTGACTCAGCGAAACCCCCAGGCGTAGGCAACCCAGCAGTGTATAGGCACTGTACCTGGAAAAACACGGCTCATGAACCTCTGGGTGAGTTCTTGATTTCCCGAGATTGAGCTTTCGGGCATGGCCTCTGACGGCCCGCTTCGCTTTCTCGCCTCAGGTGAGCGATGACATCAAGACTCCAGGCCACGGGAGTTGATTTTGTTCTTCGCAATCGACCGGGGCACTGAACTGGAGGTGGGGTGGATTCCATTTTTGGCTCAGAAAGGTGGGCACTTTCCGAGGATGTGCTGTTTTGTGCCATGTCATGGTCATGCATACACTTGAATCTGGTGGTGAAAATGCGAGTAGTTGAGGACCTACGTGCACTGAACTCCCCACTGGTTTGCCAGGGCAAAAGTGCACAAAGGTTCTGAAAGTGAAGTTGAGTAAGTTGAGTACTGAACAAGTTCACGACACTGAGCCTGCGTTCGAGCACTCACATGCAAACACATGCATTCCTTTTAATTAAGCTGAGGCAGTAGAATAAGTTTCAATATGACTGTAATTTATGATTTCTTGACTCTGTTCTTGAAATTTAATAGAGGTGCTGAAATGGAGATTCATAAAATGATATCAACATTATCATTACTGTTGTCAATCTTATTTAAACATCGTATGCCAGGCTTGATATGACACATAATGCACCATACATTATCCTGAAAGAAGGGCATGGATGTGTCGTGCGATCTGCAGATATGTCGCCGCAAGGCGGAGGAAGGGAGACCCGCCTGGCCCAATGGGTTGGGGTCGTGGATGGTCGAGGTTTCCGCATGTTTCCACACTTCCCAGTCAAACTGATTCGAGCTACACAGCTACACCGATGAATTCCCATCTAGGACACCAACAGCCCCCAGGCTCCCGAGCCGAGCGGAACGAGAGTGAGCGGGCGAGCGAGCGCAGTGAGGTCTGGACCCCAGCACCTAAGTGGGTTGAAAGATGAGAAGTCAAGTGTGTGTTCATACCTGGATCTTCCATGATCTTCCAACTATGCCGCAATTGCTGCGGAACTTGGCTGGTTTTATAGATGACCAGGGACAGTTGGAAGATCCAGGTATTTGTGACCAAAGAAGACAACATGCAGGCACTTGGACTATTATATACACACTTTATCGAAGCTGATGACATCTGAAGCCCCACAAAGCTAGACAAGTCCTGCTTCGTGTGACGTCTTCTCCTTTAGATCTGGAGTTTTGCTGCTACAAATCTTCGATCTTTTTGACCGGATACTAGTAACAAGTGCCTTACTAGTAGTAACAAGAACGCTACTAAGAACACGTGCTCGAGCTTTTGCCTAGGCGGCCACACCGTGGAGGCATGTGGCCTTTTTTGGCCTCGCCGGTGGTGACGCTCGGATCGTGATCCAACGGAAGATCCTCCCGGTGTGAAACTCGAAATCCGAGGGCGTGAGGCCGACCAACAGGGGCTATAGAACTTGTTTGCAGGTTTTTGCAACCCTTTTGGGCGCAACGATGTGCCACTCACAGCTGCTTGTTTTCTTCGCATTGATGCCGCAGAAACATCATATCATTGCACCTTGCTGCATTGCTTGTGACAAGAATTACAGTTGTCAGCTTGATTACGTAGCGTTGTACCTGTGCTCGTAAATGGAGTTTGGGGGTTGTTTTGATGCCATGGCTGCTTTGATGATTTTTGATGATATCTTTTCTGTGACCTTCCGCAAGGCTTGAATCGTCCTCTTCGAGCTGTAGAAGAGACTTCAACACAATGAGCAGTTTTACAGTTTAACAGACACGACCATATTTTGGAAGCATAGAGAAGCTAACACTGTCACTCACTAACCCCAAACTCCTTTTTTTTAAATAAAGTTTCGGCACGTTCAAGGTTCGCCCAGCTCAACAGTTCAGCCGAGCTCTGCACTCTCTCAAGCCAAGCCCGCCATGTCGGATGCTGACTATGTCAAGGCCTACGAGGCCAACGGTTCGGGAACCTGTTGAGTCTGCGGATGGCACCGAAAAGGAGAAAGATCCAAGCACCTTGGAAACCGACTTCCCGACCAAAGGGTGTGATCTTTGGAATCCACCCAATGCGCAAAGGATCCACGCAAAGATGGGCGAATCATTGCAGTGAAGATCGGAGAATCAGGTCGGACATCCCTTGGTTTCCAACATGACTCTGGATTCCTATATATATATGTACATATCTTATATCTAAAAAGACTTATATATCTATTTATTTATTTGACTCTTTTTTCTCTCTATGTTTTGTAGGCCTTTAAATCCGGCAACGAACGGAACCGGTTCGACCGTCGCAGCGTGGACCGTGCAGGACTTCCTGGCGATGGGCCTCCAGGGAGCTGCCATCCAGGTTGATGGAAACGGCCGAAACTGGGCAGACGCAAGGGGGGCGCTGTTGGTCAGTCTGTCAAGTCTGTCAGTTGTTCTTTGTTTCACTTTGTGGTTGGACTCGGAGGTGCTCTTTGGAACAAAGTAAGGTGAAGGGTGTTGAACTCTGGGGTACTCTGGGCCTGGGGGAAGTCCTAATCCTTTTTCCTTCCAGATGGGTTTGTGGATGCAAAGCACGCATGCAAATCCCACACCGCCTTTTGATACCAGAGGGTCCAGGGCCATCCGAATCGGATGCCCTTAGACCATTCTGATTGAAGTACTTCCGAAAAAGAGGCTTAATGACAACACTGGCCACTCTACCCTCCTGCACCAAGTTCCAGCAACGAATTGCACCGTCACCTTTTTCAATACGACCCTACAGCGACGGCAAAGCGTCGGCCGCGGCCGGCAGGTCTTGCTGGAAGGCTTGGCAGCTACCAACAGCCCACGGCTTCAAGAGCTCGGGGCCTGGGGCAACGGGCCGCGGAAGAGACACACTTTTTGACATGTTTGGTATGTCTTGCGGCTAGAGGTGATTGCAGACCTTGGCCTTAATGCACAAAGGGGCACGTTGAAATAAAGGGAATTGCTTCCCAATTGTGAATAATTAGCTACTGTTCAACAGGATAAAACTTTGACATGACAACAGACTGGGTGTGAGAAGTTGCGCAACACTGGTGTTCGGTGGGTCCGGCGGTATCACGTGGAAGTGCTAAGTCATTGCAGTGGTCCAATATAGTCTAGTGCACAGAATAGAGAAGGCCTGCATAGGTCTACATGATAGTCTAATGGCCTACATAGGTCTACAAAATGTACAGGTGGCCTAGCAAATCATGTTTTGGACACATGTTTCCTTCGGTGGTGTCTATACCCTGCGCATCCCGCCGCTGAGGCTTGCGCGCAGAGATGCTGTTCCATTGCCCGAGGCATTTAACTGTTCACTTCTTTTGTGTGTCGGAGTTCTGGCAATTGCAATCGATTGACCTTATGATTTTGTGTGGATGAACATGCAAAAGATGTGTCGACCAACTGCTCACTAAAACAAGCAAGCTTCTCCTTGCTCTCAGACTCACGAACATGGTGCCGTTTGGGTCAGGGACATGGGCACTAGAAAAGCCCGGCTGACATCCAAGTAGGCCTTTCAGCGAAGCAAGGCCTTGGGCCATCTTGGGCCTATCCAATTCCCTGTAGCTGGTCAGCAAAGCCCAGTAAAGCCAGTGTTGAGGAATTTGTTCTCGAGTTTGCACGCATCAACGCCATCACTGGAATCAGGAATCCTGGGACTTGGATAGGCTGGAATAGATTGATCGAAGACGCTCAGTTTTTGCACTTCTTTCGATCCAAGCACCAGGCCAAGCCAAGCCAAGGCTATGACGAGAATCCCTTCCAGGCAGCCACCGTGCTGCGAGTCGTGGGATGACCACTCACTCGCACTAGGAACAAGTGCATCGCTACTAGTAACAGGTGCCACGCTAGTAG